GTATTTGTGAATCATGGGAGAAACTCCTAATAGGAAATTGAAGCGCTATGGTGCATAGAGATAAGTGGCGTCCAGATGGCTCAAGGAGGCTCAGTCAGCAAAGTTATAAAGAACTAAAGGGAGCTTTTAGAGGAAAGGGAGAAAGGAAAATAGTTTTGGGATGAGGTTCAGTGAGTAAGCAGAGGAGTTGACTGAGGAGTTAGAGATCTTGATTCACATAGCTAGTGTGAGATGAGCCAAAAGACCCAAACCCTGATGTGAACATAGAGCCCATGACAAAGAATAGTCAGGGGGGAAAAGGCAAAAGTATGGGTCTGTGAGTTAAGCATATGAAGTGCATTGGCTGAAAAGTGAGAATACAGGTAAGCCCAGGACTAAGTAAGTTTATTTTTTTAACAGAGGACTCTTTTCATCTTTTAAACTTTGGGAATATGCAGCCAATACTGTAACCCTTGAAGAGGATGATGGTACAAACAGTTCATCGTTTTGACACTATACATTTGATAACTCTGGTGGAAGACATCATGGTTTTCTGTTTTCTAGCTCCAGCAAGATTTTAGTCAAAAATTTCTTAAATGCTACTATAATGTACTTAAATGCTGAGAGTTTGTACTTCCCAAATTATATATACTTTTAATTTATTTCATCACATGAGATATGGTTTCTTTGCAGTAGAAAACAACCTCAGGATCTCTACCCATGCTAGGTTTATAGACCTCTCATATAGTTACACATCAGTACAGTTGGGCTCTGACAAGTATGTCTCCCTTGAGTTCATTAACATTTTAAAGCTGCTCTATAGTTGTGTGCTCTTCATATTAACTCAAATGTCCTGTATTTCTCTGTTTTCCCTTTTTTTTTCCTACTGTGACTAAAAGATCTAACCAGAAGAAATGTAGAGGAGGAAAAGTTTATTTGAGGGCTCAGGGTTTCAGAAGTCTTAGTCCATAGAAGGCCAGCTCCATTTCTCAGGGCTCAAGGTGAGGCAGAACATCATGGAAGAAGAGTGTGGCAGAGGGAAGCAGCTCAAATAATGATTAGAAACAGAGAGAGACACTCCACTCTCCAGATACAAAATATATACCCATGAACCACTTTCTCGAGCCACACCCACCTACTGACACTTAATCACTCAGTTAATCCCCTCAGGGGGGTTAATTCACTGATTAGCTTAAGGTTCTAACCCTATAATTTCTCCTCTAAATCTTCTTGCATAGTCGCACATGTGAGCTTTTGGGGGATACCACATCTAAAACGTAACATTCCCAACCCAGTATAAATAGAGTAAAACAGAATTGCACAAAAGATAGAAATTATACAGCTAGGATTTTTGTACAGCCTTGCTGTGGAGTTCTGTTGTGAGCAAGACAAATCTTCAACCAACTTTCCTAGAACTTCTGAGAGCATTAGCCAAGGCTGACATGACTTCTGTAGGTAGCCTGTATGTTGGGCCTGGGTCATCTCACTGTCTTCTTGATGGGTCTTTATAAATGCAAACCTCAGAGAAAAATACCTCTCAAGTGCCCTAGAGCATCTACTAATAACAGTGACACTTGTAAAGCCAGGAGAGCTGTCACTTAGCACAAGTCTTTAACTTCTGCTTCCTTGGAGTTGATTGATAGTCTACAAGACTGACAGCTCTTGCTAAACTTAGACACAAATGACTCCTTGAATCTACTACTGCCATGTTGCAAATCAGAACAGAAGATAGAAAATGAACACATCTGTTGGTAATGTAGCTATAGGACAGCCACCAATTCCAAGACCCCCCAAGGTCTATCCTGTTTTGCTAACCATAAACAGAGAACTGCTCTTGGCATATATGTGCTTAGTGTTTATCCATGGTCATTGCTTTGATTGAGGTTGTTCCTTTCTGACAGTTTCAAAATAACCAGGTGAATCATTGCTACACTTAACCACAGTTAGTGTAGACATATACTTCCTGAACACTCTATGCTAGTGTCTCCTTTCAGTCTCTGCAGGGTTTCTTCAGCCCTCTAGGAGAGTTTGCTTAAAGTACTGCCTGCATATAGACTGTTAGCTGTAAATCTCTATTACATTAATCTTGGAATTTATGGTACCCAAAGTACTCTAGTGACTAAAAGAGTAAGAAAGAAAATGTCATCATAAATGCTCATCATCTGATTAAGTAGTAGAGCCTAAAGCTTCAGATCAAACCCATTTGGAGCAACAACTTTGTGGATATGACATTTTATGGCAAGAAAGGAACATATGAAAATATGGAAGTCACTTTTGAGGGTTTATTAATCTTTTGGGTATCTGAATAATATTGTTCAAACTTTTCTATTGGCCCTTGGCTCTTTTGAGAGGGTTGTGCTCTTGCCATTGTTTTTAGAGGGAGCAGTTTCATTGAGCCACCCATATTTTCTCACCCCACCCCAAGGGTAAACTCAACAGCAAGATCAAAATTCTACATGAGGAACGTATTCTGTGTTTATGAAAAACAGCTATCCTCCACAAATATATGGGCGGATAAAAAGTCTGTTAAGAGTCATACCCACTCACGCAATTCTTTAAAAATTGTCACCATCTTATTGTTTATACTATTTTCATCCACAGTTAATTTTCTGTAGCATGAAACCCCTTCCATACTGTTTGTTCTGCTGCTGTTTTTTCCTTACCGTATTCCAGAGCCCCTTTGAAAGCTCTCTGCTTTTGATATCCCTTGACTACTGCTCTCCCCACAAAGACAGGATTCATTTTGAGTACAGTTGTGTTCCGGAATGTTCAGGCATAATCTCCTGATTTGAGAGAATGCATGAAAATAGATGCAAGGAATACAGTGACTTATCTCCTTCTCTCAGCTACATAGTAGGGCTGTATCTAAAGGCAAAGAGCTTATTTCCTCCCCTCCTGCCCTAAACACAGTACTGGCTCATAAGTACTAAGTACAAGTTCTGTTTATTTTTTTCCAATTTTAGTAGGGTGAGTAGACCATGAAAGAATGATCATTGGTATTTTCTTGGGCTCATAATTTTTATAAATTACTAAAAACAAGATTTTAGTTTGAGAATCTGTCTTTATGTTAAGATAGCAGAATAAATGAGAGGTGACTTGAGCACAATGCTGCTGTTAGCTATTAACCCTGCCACTTAACTGGTGGTCGGACCTTGAGTCAGCTTATAATTTCCAGCTCTCATTTTCTTTATCTGTGAATCATAAATAATGATGATGGTGCATTTCTCGTGGTGTCATTGTAGGGATTTTGTGAGTTTATCCATATAAAACTGTGCATACAATTAGCACTATATAAATGTTGGCTATTATTATTAGATTGATTCTTTTGTTCTTTTCAAAAGACTTTATTATTAATTGTTCATCTATATTTGAGAGCCCTAATTATTAAGACTTTCACTTTTTACTGGAAAGAATGTATGTGAAACTAAGTTTACCCACCCCATCACTGTTCTTTGGTCTGATGGGCCTTATCATCAACACACAGTCACTGAATGCCTGCTATTCATAGACTCCTAAACTACCTGTCAATGCTCTTACCTATGGTGTCTAAAATTCTTCCTTGCCTCATCAAATATTTGCAGAAGGATCAATATGTATGGAACTGCATGTCTTCTGAATTTTGAAAATGAATTATTAACTTGCATTTTCTTGGCTATAAACTATGCATCAACCCCCTACTCAATGATTGCTTTCCTTATTATTTCATCTAACTGACCTAGAATACTTTACACAAAGCTGACTGATAGAAAAATAACACGAAAAATATAATGTCATGAGAACTGTTTTCTGACATTAGCTCTGTTTTTATTTCTGCAAGGTAACAGCATCGTTTGTCTTTCCAATCATATTCAGTTCCATTACTCTTGAGGCCCATTATTTTCTCAAGAGTTATTCCAACCTTCTTTTGAACATCCATCACCACATCCTTGTGTCCTTTATGTTTAGTGGCACAATACAAAGGTTTTATATTTTCAGTCACAAGCCATTCATAAGAAGCACCTAGTATAAGTGTTTGCCAGCATTATTTTTTTTCTATATACCTAAGGCATTTACTGCATTAAGGAATATAGCTAGCAATTGTTCCTTAAATTTTTTCTTCACTTTCAAAGCTTTTATTCCCTTTTAAAAAAAATAATCCTTGTATAATGCTATTGTTGGATTTGTTCAATCCTCCTCTTTCTGTGTCTTATCTCCCAAAGTACTTTGCCTCTATAATATTTTCTCTCTTCTTAGTATTTGAAGTCTAGATGAAATATGCAACCTCTCTTCAGAGACAGCTGAATCTATCTGGCTTAGACTACTTGATCTAAAATAATGCTAAGCTTTATATTTTCTTATGGTCCTCACCCCAAAATGTAATCTCTGGAAAACTCTCCCTCCCTTCCTAGAAGATTTAGGGATGGACAGATGTCTTTACTTCTTTCTTCTCCATCCCAGGCTCTCAGTACAATGCTTAGGAAATATTTCCAGGGCAACTAAAAACTACCAGTGTTTAAATGTGTTAAGTCTGAGATTTTATAGAAGACATCTTTTTCTGGCCCAGAAGTCCATGTGCAGCTCATTTTCATACAACTGACTCAAAAGAGTAAATCAAAAGAAAAATATTTCTCCCATATTTTCTAAGTTAATAACATGTGGAGGCCCACATTTCTATAATACACTGATCAAAGCCCTGGGAGAAGAATAAAATATAAACTGAAGCTACAGCTTCTTCCCTGGAAGATTCTTATGGGTATAATTCCTTTTACTAAAGAACATGCTGAAAGTTGACCTTCTGGTAAAATGTTACATGTTCCCACTTAGGTCCTCTCTTTGGATTCATATAAGACTTAGAAAAATCTTTAGGAACCTGATGACCAGTTAGTGTCTCTATAATTTTCTTGTTAATAGAATATTGGACTAAACAGAATCTTCCTTTTTCTTAACTACATAATTTCAAAGATTCTTAGAAGTATGTTACTTAAATGCACATTGTCTTGGTAAATGCTTATGTATTTATCTTTGATTTGTTTCTAATACAGGGACCTCCTGGATTACAAGGAATACAACAGACTCTTGGTGGATATTTTAACAAGGTATGACTTCTCTTTTCCCACAATTTGTATACACTGAGAGTTTATGATGTTACATGTATTTAAACATCTTTCAATGCTAAAAACTGTTTGCAAAAATTATATATATATATATATACAAAAATTATATATATATATATATATATACACACACACGCACACACACACACATACACACATATTGTGTGTGTATATATATTACTTTACTCCATATATGATCATAAGCTCCGAGTTTTACTTCTATAAATTAGAGATTAATTCAAAGTTCAGTTGTTCAGACATTGATAATGTACTTTGTCTAGTTTCTCTAAAGGCAGAAAGCAATTATTTGCTGCCCAGAAGCTCTGGGTATCACAGCAGGTGTTGGATTTCTTATCAAAACTGGTAGGTGCTGCACAAATCTCAAGCAAATGTTCATACACCATAGGTCAGTAGCAGGAGCCTCCTCCTGTGAGTAGGAGCAGCTTTAAACTTCCCCAAGTTCTTTCCATCACAACTGGGATAAATGGAATGACGATGTGGAGGTCTCTGAGTACAAAAGGCAAGCCCACTGTACTCCTGATTCTGCAAGGAAGCAACAGGGAGAGAACAAGGGTTAGTAACCATATCTGAGACAGAAGTCTAAATGAAATTCTCAATGTATTCATCACTCAATAATGAGTATTTGTGATCTTATCACTTTGTGTGATGTATTATGTCCACTGAGTAGGGCCCTTTTTATTCACAATGGCTCATCACTGATATTATTTCTCAAAGAAAAATGAGGGGAGCTGGGTATGATGGCACATGCTTATATTCCCAGCGGCTGAGGAGGCCAATGCAGGAGGATTGTGAGTTCAAATCCAGCCTCAGCAAAGAAGAAGTGCAAGTAACTCAATGAGACCCTGTCTCTAAATAAAATACAAAATAGGGCTGGGAATGTGGCTCAGTGGTCCAGCACCCCTGAGTTCAATCCCCCATACCAAAAGTAAAAAGAAAAAGAAAAAGGTGGGGACAGTCGCTCTTGTGTCTTCTCTTCCTGTTTTCTGGCTTTTGCCTCCTATAAATTCCTCTAAATACTGTTGCACCTCTCTATTTACAAATCCCAAAGACACTGTGTTCCAGACCAGGCCTTGAAAATAGCTAGTGCTCAAAAAAAAAAAAAAAAGTTAAGTAATGAACTAATTAAATCCTACTTCTTCATTCATCAAATTAGTTTAGTATAAGGACCTAGACAATTTGTGTTTGACAAATTTAAAATTAAATGTGTAGACAATTTGTTGTGTTTTATAAATTTTAGATGGTTATCCTGTCTTATATTTTCTCATTTATTTAGATTTTATTAGAAAGAGTGCTTAGGATATATTTTATGATCCTTTATTAAACATTTTTAAATAAGTCTATACTAGCCTTTTCAAAACATTAGGGCTTGGCACAAGTGAAAAAGTAAGCTAAAAGATATTTTATCTAAATTTAATCAATGTAATGACTCCTAAAATTATAAAATAGGGCTTATTCATGCTTCAAAATAATGAGAATAAGTTGGCTGTCACAAAACAATGTCAGCTAGAAAAACTTAAAACATATACTGTATTACTTTCACCCTTGGTGTAAAATTTACCAAATTGCTACTCAGCTACTTAAATATTTGCTAACACTTGCAAAACTTTTAAAGCTCATATCTTTACAGATCTCCCAATACTACTTTAATATATACTTTATCTTACCAATGAGTCAGTTTTTCCTTAAATGAAAATATATGGAGCCTTTATATTTTAGAGTCTAAAGTTGAGAATGTAAATTTTTAAACTTTAAGGTAGTATTACAAAAAATATGAGCTGAATGAAGCAGCTGAGTGGGGAATCTTGTTAGTTACAAACCAGTACTTGGAACTTGGCTATTGTATCACTTAAAAGAACTCTAGCTATCATTATCGCCATTACAGTACTGAGGCTCACAGTGTTTAGTCCACATGTGTCCTGAATGTGACTTTAGAGCTCAAAGATAACTGAATAAAGAGGAGGGACCACAGCCTTTTTTTTTCCTGCCAAATTCTGCAATTTACAAAAATGTATCAGAAAGTTTTCGACATTGGGAATTAACAGGAGGTAGCTTGACAAACCCTTCATTCTGCTTCCTTCTGAGAGCACTTAGAGCTCTATACTGAGGTCCCACAAGGACAGAGGAGATGCCTCCTCCTTCCCAATCCCACCCCCAGTCCCCACACTGACTGGTGTATCTGCACTGTAACCACCTCCTCCTCACCCGGAGCTTCATAAAGAAAGGGGTGAACTGTGCTGCAATGAGCAAGATGCATGTTTTCATTTGGTGACATCCCCAGCGCCCATCCCCATCTGTTTTGGGACACTGAAGTTGTTTCATTTTGTAATTTGTTGCATGCCTGACGGCCTGGCTATAATAAATGATCACAGCAAGAAGGGGGGCCTGAGTAAAACTTTTCTGGAGATTAAATAATGGACCGTGTATTGAGACATATAAAGTGACACTCCAAGGTTAAAATAATCTTCCCTTTTAAATTGGCATTGATTAATGTGATGTCTGCACTTGAGCCCTGGCCCTCAGTTCCTTCGCTGGCAGCAGCTCCAACAGTCAAGCAGCCCAGATTTTGCTGAAGCAGCTCCCTCAGGGAACATGAATAGCAGAGTACTCATACACATTCCCTCCCTGTTCTAAATTAAAAGATCCATTGTTTGTCTCTGGTCCCTGGAACCCTCTCTTGTCCTTTGGCCCTAGTACAGGAATTGATCTTTTCACCTACAAATTCCCTGTGTCACCTAGAAGGGGAAGTTTAGGCATTAGAAACCCTCTCCCTTCATAATATGAATCAACAAGGGAAGGAAACAAGGGCAGTGAGGAATAGAGGGATAGAGACTTAGCAGTGAGGTCAGGAAGATTATATGTGTGTTCATGTGTTTTTTTGCATGCTCATTTGGAAATGCAATGAATAAAATGTAGAAGATTTCCCTATCTCAAAAATAATTTGCAAAACAGCTGCTCCCATTCTGCAAGATTGTTTGCCAAAACACAACAATGCTGAGCATGTTCTTCCCCTTAAGGAAAATCTGCTCATGATCCAGCAAACTGCTCTTCCAGCTCTGGGGATTTTAATAAAAATTTGATAGGCTCTGTCAACTTCTAAAGCCATCAGCTCCCTACATGGAGGGGAAAAAAAGATAGTGTCATCTGTGACAGCCAAGTACTGGTGGATTTTACATTTGATATTGTTTTTTAGAGATCCACATTGAAAATGCATAGTTGTGTAGCCTTACATTACCACACTTGGTCTCAGCTGTTGGAGATTGATGCCATGCCTCCCAGCAACCAATTCTGGTGTTCACTTCTCCAAATTGTTGATCCAAAAAGAACGCCATTTGCTAGCAAAATAGTCTATTTTTCCTTTCATATATCAAATAATAACTTTATTTTAATATTCACAGTCCAGAAAGAACAAAAAAACTTTATCCAAAATCAAATATTCAGGGTCTTTCCAAGCAGCTAGGTAAGCCCAACAAGAACACATAAAACGAAGGCTTGATTGGAAACACTGCAGGCAATACTTCTGGTCCCAGAAGAGTTAAAGATACACCAAGTCCTAACTTCCTCCCTCTCCCTCTTTGTTGCCCAGGAGCCACTGTCTTTGGGGAGCATCATGAGCTTGGGCAGAGGCTACGTGCTTTCAGATCTTGGTTTGATTAAACAGAGCCCCAAAACTTACCTGGGTCCTCCCCTTCCTTTTCACAACTGATAAAATGTTTTCTTGAAATAAGTCAGAGGTTGAACTTTGGGCCACCCTTTGGTTTCATTTTAAGTTAGTACAACGTTCATAGGCCATATTTTATATTTTAACTTGCTGGGGTTGCCACAACAAAATGTCACAAACTGAGTATCCTGAACAGCAGAAATGCATTGTCTCATAGTTCTGGAGGCCATGAGTCCAAGATGAAGGTCCTGGTAGGGCTGTGCTCTCTCTGAAGGCACCAGGGAGGGGTAAGTTCCAGACTTATCTGTCTCCTAGCTTCTGGTAGTTCTTTGGCCATCTTCATGTGGCATTCTCCCTGTGTGCACATGTCTCTGTGTCCAAATTTCCCTTTTTATAAGGATGTAGTCATATAGGAATAGGAATCCTCCCTACTCTCATTATAGGCTCATCTTAACTAGTTAGATTTGCCATCATACCATTGCCAAAAACAGTTCACATTCCAAAATGTTGGGATTGGGACTCAAACATTTGAATGGAGCTAGGGGTCATCCAGTTCAACCCATAACAGATAACTTCTTGGTGTATTTTGTTTGTTTGTTTTTAACCTTGTGTCTCTTCGTGCCAGAGATATTACAGCAAATTCCCCAAGGGCATAGCTGGGTTATTATTAATGACCCCATGTTGTGGAAGGGAGGACATGTCATTGGTTTCTTTCACGAGTGGAGCCATAGAAAATTGATATTTCAGTTTTGAGGACCTACAAAAATGGCTGTCTCTTATACTTCAACAAGTACATGTCTGGGCACATTCTCTCCTTTCCAAAGAATACACTCTTCAACACAGAGTAGTTCAAGTCCTTCCACTTGCTTGACCATAAGTTTCAAAGTTCTGTTCACCATTTCCCCAAAGAGAACAAAAGACAGTTCTGATGTCCCATAATTCTTGAGATGAGCAGGCAGATTCCCACCTTCACACCATGATCTCTCATCACTTTGTATCAAGAACTTTTAATAAACACATTCAAAACTATGCAACTATTTATTTTTGAAGGCTCACAAGAATTTTGATAATGGCAACAAGGCCTAAAATAATCAAAATAGTATCTGAAATAGAACTGTAGTTCCAAAGACACAAAGGCTGTCTAATATTCTGTAAAGCCTGGTTATTTTCTGATGCCATTGGCTTAGAGAAGGTGGAGAAAAGAATCACATGTGTCAGTGAGCAAATGGTACTGAAGTTCAAGTTTTAATCTCCCTCATTTGTTAATTCAGGAGTGGAGAGTAGCACCAGAGGCCCCTGAGGA